AGTTGAGCAGAGAGAGGTTAAGTAATTTGTACAACATTACGCAACTAGTAAGTGGCGGAATTAGTATTCAGTTTTAGGCGTTCTGACCTAAGTGCTGTCTTTAATTGTTGAATTTCCTACCTGCATTATTGTCTTGTGGCTGCTGTAACATAGTTCCACAAACTGGATGGCAGTTTATTCTCTCACAGTTCTGGAGGCTAGAAGTCTAAAATAAAGATGTTAGTAGGGCATGCTTCCTCTGAAAGCTCTAGGAACAAATCCTTCCTTGCCCTTTCCAGCTTCTGACCTGTTGGCAGCATACAAGGTCTATCCAGAAAAAGTCCAGCTATTGTTAATATAGTGAGAATGGTTTGTGCAACATTGATGTAACCTGGTAGCCTAGGAGAGTGGCCTGGAGTACACATGTGTGAACAATGACGACTTCAGTGTACTAGTCAGTGGGGGCAGTAGACGCTGTTGAGTGAGCATGGTTACTGTATGGCTGTCGCATTCAAGATGACTGAGCAAGTAGAGCAAGAAATCTGCATCAAATTTTGCGTTAGGCCTGAATGTTCCTCCACAGAAGCTATTCAGTGATTCAGAAGGCCACAGCTATGGGAAACTGGTGATAGGCAGCCTTATCATGGCAGCATCACGTATCATGCAGAGTTTTTTGGCAGAACATCAAATCACCCAGATGATCTAGACCCCCTACAGCCCAGATTTGGCACCCTTCAACTTCTGACTTTTCCCAAAACTAAAATCACCTTTTAAACTGTCGATGAGATTCAGATTCAGGTAAATACGATCAGCTGATGGCAATTGGGAGAACTCTGTGAAGTCCCAAGGTGCCTACTTTGAAGAAGGACAGTGAGGTGTCATTGTCCTATGTACAATGTTTCTTGTATCTTCAATGAATGTCTCCATTTTTCATATTATATGGAAGGATACCTTCTGGACAGACCTTGTAATTCTAATCTTTGCCTATCACTGTTTCTTTAAGGCAGTCTATGCTTTTCCATCAAGTGTCTCACATTCTTCCAACCTTTTCCCATTACTCAATTCCAAAGCCATTTCCACATTTTTTAGGTATTTTGTTATAACATTTAATTTCCCAGTATCAGAATCTATATTAGTTTCCTAGGGCTGCCATAATTAATTACCATAAACTGAGTCTTTAAAATAACAAGAGTTTATTCTGTCATGATTCTAGTGACTAGAAGTCTGTAATTATGGTGTCACAGGATTGGTTCTTTCCGGAGGCTCTCAGGTGACTCAGTTCTGTACCCCTCTCCTAGCTTATGGTGGTTGCCAGCAGTCCTTGATGTTTCTTGGCTTATAGACAGAAGCATCAATTGCATCTCTCCCTGTATCTTCACATCACCTTCTTTTTCTGTCTCCTTTTCTTACAAGGACTCCTGGCATTGGATTTAGAGTTTATGTTAAATCTAGAATGATTTCATCTCAAGATCCTTAGTTAATTATGTCTACAAAGACCCTGTTTCCAAATGAGGTCACATTCTAAGGTTTCAGGTAGACATGAATTTTGGCGGACATTCTTTTCAACTCAGTATATGCTAGTGTTCCTTTTATTCTTTGTTTCTGTAGGTGTGTTTAGAAATGAAACTAAAAACTTAATGTTAGTCCCTAAACTCTTACTTATCTTGCCATAGTAAAAGCCAAACAGATTTTAAAATATAGGCACACATATGTATGTTTGCGCATAAGTATATTTTTTTGGCAAAGATTTTTATCCCAACCATCCTTTCCTGCCATCCTGGGAACATCTTGAGCTGATTAGTGTCTGTAGGGATGCCAGGCCAGTTTGGGTAAACATAAGGAACATTGTAGGGACAGAGTTTCTGTAGAAACCAAACCCTCCAAAACCAAATATACATACAGATCAATCAATGTATATTTATGTAGGAAAGCTGCTGTTGTCACTTTTACAATTAGAAAAAATAAAATTTTGTTGTAAAGATTTTTTATTTATTTAATTTTAGAGGGTAAGGGGAGGAGAGAGGGAGAGAAACATCATTGTGTGGCTGCCTCTTGGACCCTCCACACTGGGGACCTGGCCCACAACCCAGGCATGTGCCCTGACTGGGAACTGAACCGTGACCCTTTGGTTCACAGGCTCGTGCTCACTCCATTGAGCTACATCAGCCAGAAAAAGTAATTTTGATAATATAAGCTATGTAAATGTGCCCAAGTCATAAGTATTAAAACAAGTTTTCTTTGAAAGCACTAGCAGTTATTGTTCATTCTGTTTTGCTGCTTTTATGCACTTAAATAATTTGTCTTCCAACATGTAGGTTCAAGAATAAAAATATTGTAAGTGTTAAGTATTAATCTTTGATGAGCAAAATAAAAGAGTTCTTGTATGTCACATTTTTAGAGGGACATTGACAAAATACATTTAGGGGAAGAATATTAGGGTACTGAAGACTCTGGATTACATATTGTATGACGAATAATGAAAATATTTGAGCATATTTGTCCTGAAAAGAAAAAAAACCCTGAGGGTTATAGATGTTGTGAAAGATTTGAAAGACTGAAGGATGTGTTAGGTTGATTTTGCCTTACAGACAGAACCAGGACTAATTGGTGGATGTGTTAGGTTTGTATCATTGCATTAAAGAGTAAAACCTTTCTGAAAGAACAATTCCAGTTTAGAGCAGATTGTCATATGAAGTAGTGAGTTTGCTGTGAAGATGAAAATTAAGATTAAAATGATAAGTAAGCGTTCTTTGTTGATGAACATTCTGCTAAGTCAGATGTTAGGGACCCTTTCAAATAGTCTGTGAGTTGCTTGAAAAAATGGACAGAATGGCCATTTAATTAAATTTATTTCCATAACATCTCATTTTCATGTTGATATTTCATGTTGTAAATTACCCTAAGAACATTTTTATGTAGAATTTTTTTTTGTTTCATTGAAATTTGTTGATATTTCTGAAAAAGAAAAAAGCAAACAGTTGCAGAAAGAAGTTAACATCTTTATAACAGGGAAAATCCTTAAGACTGACATTTTAGAAAAGAAATAATCAGGCAGTGCCCTGACTGGTATAACTCAATTGGTTGGGCTCCTGCCTCAAAGGGAGAGGTCCCTGGTTCCATTCCAGGTCAGGGCACATGCCTGGGCTGCAGGTTCAGTCCCTGTTCAGGGTGCCCGAGAGAAGCAACCTATTGATGTTTCTCTCTCACATCAATGTTTCTCCCCCTCTCTTTCTCCATCCCTTCTCTCTCTGAAAATAAATAGCCCTGGCCAGGTAACGTGATCAGTTAGAGCACTGTCCAACACCAAGGTTGCAGGTTCTGTCCCTGGTCAAGGCACATACAGTAATTGACCAAGAAATGCATAATTAAGTAAAACAAAAATTGATCTCTTTCTCTCATCAATAAAAAACTTTTAAATAAATAAAAATCTTTAAAAAATCTATTTAAAAAAAGAATCAAGTATTGCTGTAACATTCATGCTCAAAGTTCATTAAGTGCTTTCTGATGTGATATTATTGCTTAATTGGATTTTTGATTTGATACTGCCTTTTAAAAGCTGTTTATTAATTTTTTTGATTAGGGGTCTCTGACATCCTTAAAATTGGAAATTGAAATAAGACCATTGTCATTGCTCAGTAATAAGTCAGTAGAAATATTCATTATAGAGTGAAATCTATAATAGGTTTAAGAAATTATATTCAGAAATTGTTGTAAAAAGCTTCTAACAGAAATATATTAATCTCATAGGCCAGCAGATGCTGATTTGAAAGAGCAAAAGCCAGATAAAGGAACCCTTTATTAATCTTTTTTCTTTTCAAATTTTGATAGTTTCGATAGTCTTTCATTTATTCATGATTTACTTTCTTTAGAATCACTTAGTGATTCATTCCTGGAATTCTGCTAAATTTTTATTTGTTTACTATCTTAATAGTAATAATATTTTATATTTATCAATCACTAATGATATGCCCAGGCACTATGATACATGCATTATTATTATACCTTTGACTGTTACAGTGACCCTGAAGACAGATACTGTTATGGTAAATAAAATGCCTCAGGCTCCGAGAGGCTGCATCTGTGTCTTATCCAAGTCTGCTTTCACATATCTAAACAGCAACTGAGCCCATTTAAAGCTCAGTCTTTCTGAAAGCCCAGTTCTTTCAACTCCATGAGTTTGCTTTTGAGTAGACAGGAAAGTTAGGCTCTTTTTCATCAAGTGTACCTCACGTGCACTCCTGATTCCTTTTAAATGAGAGAAGAAACACCCTCACATGTGTTTCTCTAAGCCTGGTCCTAGACATTAGACATTAATTTGCCTGTTTTTAGTTCATGACCATCTCTGTTGAAGTCCTCTACCTCCGTTGCAAGTGAATGAGACCTTGGGAGAGATTTAAGCAGGAAAGGAAGCTGCTCCTCTTCTCTCCAGTTTGAGCTTTGTCCATATGAAAAGTAGAGCAATGAGATATTATTGCTCCTTTGAGATGACTCCTTCAAGGACCAGAATTTAGCAGATCATTTAAACCATTTTGATGGAAATGCTTCTGAATTATATCATAGTGTGGACCTTCTCTATACCTGCCACGTATAGAGTTAAAATACTTCAAGTTAAAATCCTCATTATTGTGATGATCTTAAAGTTGATACAGGTGAAACCAAGACTGTCCTTCACCACGTACTCACATGTTCAGAATTTGGAGGTCCTGCTTCTCTATCATATTTTTAAATACACTTCTGTGTTGCTGTACTAATTCCTCTCTCCACTACTGTTCATATTAATTCTTTCATCCTAAACTCTGTGGGCTAGGAAATCAAAATAATTAGAGGTTACTCAAATAAAATAAGAAAAACTTTAGTTTGAATAAGACTTGAGGAGATCTCTTGTGAGCAAATCTATTGAGCTTTAGTACACAAACTTTGTGTTATGTGCTTTAACTACTTCTGCATAGGTTAAGTTTTCAGATAAGTGAGTGCTTTTATGTCTAACATAGGAAATGTTTTTGTACTATTTTTTTAAACAGAGAAGAAGATACAGAAAATGAAAATGAAAAGAAAATTTGGTACTACAGTACTAAGGTCCAACTTGCAGAATTAATTGACTGTCTAGACAAAGATTACTGGGAAGCAGAACTCTGCAAAACTCTGGAAGAAATGCGTGAAGAGATCCACCGGCACATGGACATAACTGAGGACTTGACCAATAAGGCTCGGGGCAGTAACAAATCCTTTCTGGCAGCAGCTAATGGTGAGAGGGAAATTTCCTCATATTACTTTTTATTAAATTTAAGATAAACTCTTAGACTGAAATCACTACAGAATTGAAAACGTATTAAAAATTTCAAGTGTATATATTTTACTTGAAATCTCTATATTTCATTTTCCCAGGAGAACCTTGCTCATCTTATCATAAATTAGGGATGCTATATACTTCATAGAGCTTTATACTTCATCCTGGTTATTACTAATATCCCCTAAATTGTTTGTTCCTTTTTTATAATCCTCGCCTGAGGATATGTTTATTGATTTAGAGAGAAAGGAAGGTTGTGGGGAGAGAGAGACAGAAATCAATTGGTTGCCTCCTATATGTGCCTTGATCTGGGATGGAACCCACAACCTAGGTATGTGCCCTGAATGGGAATCAAACCTGTAGCCTTTTGGTGTATGAGATGATGCTCCAAATAGCTGAGCTACCCAGCTAGGGCTTATTTGTTTCTCTAATTCAACTAACTTATTAAATCTTTCTGATAATCCTTTTTTTCAAAAAAATAGATTTTATTTATTTATTTATTTTATGAGAGAAAGGAAGTGGGGGAGAAAGAGAGAGAAACAACAGTGTGCAAAAGATACAGGTTGCCTCTTGCATACCCTTAACTGGGGACCTAGCCTGTAATCCAGGCATGTGCCCTGACTGGGAATTGAACTGGTAACCTTTTGGTTCACAGACTGGTGCTCAATCTACTGAGCCACACAAACCACGGTGGGAATCCTATTTTTAATTATGAGAGATCGTATTCTTTTTGAATTTACTCTTTGCTTTTTTTTTAAAAATAAAACTTCTAATCAAAGAATAATTTTTGAGTTACAGAAAAGTTGATAGGATAGTACAGGGAGTTCTGTGAGGTTTTTCCTATTATTAACATTTTATGTTACTGTAGTACATTTGTCATAACTAATGAACTAATACTAATACATTATAATAACTTTTCTATGCTTTATTCTAATTTTCTTAGTTTTTATCTAATGTAATTTTTCTGTATCATTATCCCATCTAGGATACCACATTATAGTTAGTTGTCTTTTTAGTTTCCTCTCCGGGGAGGGGGTCAAACTCATTTTCACTGGGGATCACATCAGCCTCATGATTGCTTTCAAAGGGCTAAATGTAATTTCATCTCCTTAAAGTTAAGGAGTAGTTACATTTTTACAGTCCTAAAATTATTTCAGCCCTTTGAAGGAAACTTTGAGGCTGATGTGGCCCCTGGTGAAAATGAGTTTAACACCCCTGCTCTACACTCTTACAGTTTCTCAGTCTTTCCTTATTTTGGTGAACTTGACAGGTTTGAGGAATACTGGTCAGGTATTTAGTAGGATGCCCTCAGTATGGATTTGTCTCATGTTCTTCTCATAGTTAACCTGGGATTATGGATTTGGGGGAGGAGGACCACAAAGATGAAGTGCCATTGTCATCTTCTTATCAAAAGTACATGCTACCAATATGATGTATCACTGACTCTATTAACCTTGATTATCTGGTTGAAGTAGTTTGTGAGCTTTCAACATTGTAAAATAATACCTGCCACCCATTCTGTGCCTGTGGAGAAAAAAGTCACTATGTATAACCCACACTTAGGGGTGGAGTGTTAGGCTCCACCTCTCTGAGGGAGTAGCTATCTGCATAAATTATTTGGGATATTTCTGCACAAGAGGAGAAATGACTGTTCTACATTTATTTATTCAGTCATTTATTTATATGAGTATAGATTCATGGACTTTTTAATTTTATACTTTGAATTACATTTCAATTACTACCTGATTTTGTTGCTCAAGTTTTTGCTTTTTAAAAATTCTGTGCTATTAAAAATAATAAGGTACATATTTTATATATATATGTATATATATATATATATATATTCCCCCCCCCCCCAGAGAGAGGGGAAGGGAAGGAGAAAGAGAGGGAGAGAAACATCAATGTGTGGTTGCCTCTCATGTGTCCCCTACTGGGGAACTGGCCTACAACCCAGGCATGTGCCCTGACTGGGAATTGAACCAGGATGGCATGGTTCTCAGGCCTGCGCTCAATCCACTGAACTGTACCAGCCGGGGCTCATATGTTATATTTTTAAAAAGTTTAAACAGTACAGAGAGTTATATAGTGAAAAATAAATCTGATTTTCATAATCCTCAGTTTCTCTTTTCTTTTCCAGAGAAAACTCATTATTGCCATTTTAAAAAATCTTGCAAGATACATTCTGTGTTATTTTAATAAGTATCACCTGTGTTTTTCTTTTTTGAGGTCTTCCAATAGGTTATTAGAGAGAATGTAGACATTAAAAAAATTCCCACTATCATGAACATACATTGAGATTTTCAGCCCTGGAACAAGCTGAATCAAGAAAATAAACTAAAAAATTCAGTACTGTATTAATTAACATTTTTTCCCACTCACTGCCATACTGATAATGCACATACAGATTTGGTGTAAATGTATAGCCTTTGTCCTCCATGCTAGGAGATGTAGAAGTTTAAGGATCAAATAATACCAAATGTACAGGCTTCAAAAACCATCTAAATTAGGGCACTCGCTAGTTTTAACTAAATGCATTTGGAACACTGACTAGTGATTATTTGTGTACATAATTTGAAGTAAATTTTTTGGAAAAATAAAACTTGAGTGGAACAATCCTGAAGAATACACCAGAGGAACAACTGGTTAACCAATTTGTTTCAGCCAGTTTGAGTCCATGTTCTAAAATCTAAACTTACTTACTTTTCTGTAATCCAAGAGCTTCCTATCATGTCAGTATCTATGTTACGAAGTAAAGGAGACTTTTAGGTGAAATACTTTTATCACAACTGCTGTATTAATTGCCTAGGACCTCAGCAGTGTCATGGGAGTCTGGGAAATGTTCATGTGTAAGGTCATTGTCTTAGCTGACTTAAAATTGCCCCATCCAACCCTTAGTGAAGCCTTTAAGAAAACAAACAAGTTGAAAATGGGTTAAAGGAGACCAATGCAGCATCTACCTTTAAAGCTGTCAACTCAGGAATTCTCTAATTATGAAATCTTGCAGAGAAATTATTTTTCTTTCTCAGAATCCAATGATGACACATTCCTTACTTAGAAATCTAGCATTTTTCATCATCATTGTCTTGCGAATCATCATCTGCTCCATCTACTTTTGGGAAATCTATAACCTCATCACCACCCATGATGTTCATCATCTCAGAGAAACAATCAAAATTAGACATGTCTTCATCTGAATCATCTTCTTAGTCTTTCCAGTTATTGAAGTTCACATGAAGCTAATTAAGCTTCGCCAATTCTTTTGTAAATCTTGGCCATGACTGGTCAGATTCTCCTATCCTAAACAACATAAAATTGATCTGTTAATTGGAACCATCTGGATTTATATGGTGAAAAAGATCAATTTCGTTTTTTGTAAGATTTAAAAATTTTTATTATTTATTTATATTTATTTGTTTATTTTTCTTGATGAATTCCTTCACCCTTTTTTGTTTTTTTATTTTATTTTATTGATTATGCCATTACAGTTGTTCTATTCCCCCCTTCATTCCCCTCCACCCTGCACACCCCCACCATTCCCCCCCCTTTAGTTTATGTCCATGTGTTTCAAGTTCTTTAAATTCTGTATTTCCCCTACTATTCTTGCCCTCCCCCTATCTATTTTCTACCTACTGTCTATGCTACTTATTTTCTGTACCTTCTCCCCCCTTCTCTTCCTCCCACTCCCCTGTTGATAACCCTCCATGTGATCTTCGTTTTTGTGGTTCTGCTCCTGATCTAGATGTCCTCTTAGTTTGCTTTTGTTTTAGGTGTGGTTCTTAATAACTATGAGTTTGCTGTCCTTTCACTGTTCATCTTTTTTATCTTCTTTTTCTTAGATAAGTCCCTTTAATATTTCATATAGTAAGGGCTTGGTGATGATGAACTTCTTGAATTTGATCTTATCTGAGAAGCACTTTATCTGTCCTTCCTTTCTAAATGAAAGCTTTGCTGGATAGAGCAATCTTGGTTGTAGGTCTTTGGCTTTTATGACTTGGAATACTTCTTTCTAGCCCCTTCTTGCCTGTAAGGTCTCTTTTGAGAAATCTGCTGACAGTCTGATGGGAGCTCGTTTGTAGGTGACTGTCCCCTTATCTCTTGCTGCTTCTAGGATTCTCTCCTTCATTTTAATCTTGGCTAATGTAATGATGATGTGCCTTGGTGTGTTCCTTCTTGGGTCCAACTTCTTTGGGACTCTCTGAGCTTCCTGAATTTCCTGGAAGTCTATTATTGCCTTTGCCAGATTGGGGAAGTTCTCTTTTATTATTTGTTCAAATAAGGTTTCCACTTGCTCTTTCCTTTCCCCCTTCTGGCACCCCTATAATTCGGATGTTGGAACGTTTAAAGATGTCCTGGAGGTTCCTTAGCCTCTCCTCATTTTTTTGAATTCTTGTTTTTTCATATTTTTCTGTTTGGTCATTTTTTTCTTCCTTCTGGTCCACTCCCTTGATTTGAGTCACAGTTTCCTTCCCATCACTAATGCTTTCCTGTGCATTTCCCTTCATTTCAATTAGTATAGGCTTCATATGTTCCTCTAATTTGTGGCTAAAGTCAACCAGTTCTGTGAGCATCCAATCACCAGTGTTTTAAACTGTGCATCTGAGAGGTTGGCAATTTCTCATTCACTTAGATTTATTGGCTCTGGGGCTCTGAGTTGTTCTTGAGCCATGTTTTGGTCTGTTTGCGCCTGTTATCATATGAGGAGCAGGAGCCTTAGGTGTTCACCAGGGTGGGGCCACCCAGGTCACTGGGTTGTGATGCTGTATGTAGGGGTGGGGTCACAGAGGGACAGTGGCTCCCTCTGCTGCTTCCCGCCACTGGGGCCCGCGAGATCTGTCTCACCGTTAGCTCCTTTGCCTGGTTTATCTGCGTGTGAATCTGTGACTGAGATCAGCCTGCCTTGCACCCTCAGTGGGTCCACCCGTTGCTACTCCACACTGGGATACATCCTCGGCTGCCTGCGTGCCTGGGTCGGTCCAGAGGATCTTTCCTGTCCGACCCCGCTCTGCTGCTGGCTCTGCCCCTCTTACGGGTCTGGCTGACTGGTTCATTGTCAGACTTAAGTATAGTTCAGTTTTCTCTGGTTTAGCTGTGTTTTTGTTGCTAAAACTTTGTTGTTTTTAAGCTTGGTTGTGCAAGAAGGTACAGTGTTTCCACCTACGCCTTCATCTTGGTGGAAGTCTTTTTTTATATGATTTTTATTTACTTATTTTTAAAGAGGGGAAGGGAGGGAGAAGGAGAGGGAGAGAAACATCAATGTGTGGTTACCTCTTGCATGCCCCCCACCAGGGACCTGGCCTTTGACACAGGTATGTGCCCTGACTGGGTATTGAACCAGCAACCCTTGGGTTCACAGGCTCACGCTCAATTCACTGAGCTAAACCAGCCAGGGCAAATCAATTTCATTTAAATGTTTAAAATTATCACTGCCTCCAAGACAACCAAATGTAAGTTTGAATTTTTCAAAATTTACATTAACATCTTTACTGTCTTCAGTACAAAATTCAATGACAGACATAGTCCCTTTGATTATACCACTTTGCAGAAGCAGGCTGCATTCTGAATGGGGTAGGGGGATGGGTCAGTGGGTGGGTGGGACTCTCCAGTAGCAGCTCCTGAGCAGTGGGCTCTTCCCCCTTCCTTGAACCAGAGAATGCATAAATGGGTAGAACAACAAATCCGTGTTTCTCTTGTTACTCCCTTCTGTCCTCTCTCTCCCCCTCCCTTCTCCTCTCTCTCTACAACAAATTAAAATTTAAAAAAACATTGATTTGAGAGAGAGAGAGAGAGAGAGATTGATTTGCTGTTATACTTATTTATGCTTTTGTTGGTTGATTCTTGTGTGTGCCCTGACTGGAGATTAAACCTGCAGCCTTGGCTTATGGGGAGGATGTGCTTAACCAGTGAACCTACTTGGCCAGGGATTCTAGTGTGTTCTCTAACTTGGGATTTTATGAGATGAAAACAGCAGAAACTACTGGGGTTCTGAAATAGCCAAGAAAAATTTGAGTGTCGTAACAGTAACTTCAGAATCACAGCCTGTTCTAATGACTTGACTTTTTTAACCTCTCAAATTGCATACATCCTTTTACATTTAGAACTCTCTGGTTTTTATATACATATATGTCCACTTTAGTAGAATTTAATTCTGTATTTGGGAGTGGAGTTTTTCTTTTTTTCTAATATTATGAAAATTTTCAAATATATAGAACAGTTGAGAGAATTATACAGTAAACACCTGTATGCTCATCATTTAGATTCTACAGTCTGCTATATATATATGTAATACTAAATGGTTTACTATATTTGTTTTGTCATATACCTTTATAGTAATTGTGTATTATAATGCTTTATGTTGCTCATTTGAAGTGTATTTTTGGAATAAATTAAAAAAATATATATTTAATTATTGATTGATTGATCTTATGAGAGAGAGACAGACATCAATTTGTAGTTCCACTTATTTATGAATTCATTGGTTGAGTCTTGTATGTGCCCCTACTGGGGATTGAACCCACAGCTTTGGTATATCAGGATGATGCTGTAACCAACCAAGCTACCTGGCCAGGGCTGGTAGAGAATTTAGAATTTTTCTAAGTAGAGATTCAAAAAAATCTAGTATTGAGATGTTGCTGCAAAGTATATAGAATGTATGTACATGTTCATAGAATGAATGTATGTGTTAACTGATTTTTTTTTATCCTTTAATTTTTTTTATCCCCCTGACTTTTTTGGTTTGTTTTTCTTATGGCTGTGGGTACCACAGTTTTTAAGATCTAAAACAAGCACATCTAGACTGATAAAATATACACATGCATATTAGAGTAGTAATATGATAGAATATTTGAAATTAAAACATTTATATAAAATCAGAGACTTGTGGTCATTCCGCCTCTGCTTTTTATCTAATTTAAATGATCTAAACTTAGTAGATCTTTTTTTAATGTTTGATTTTTTACTAGGGAATTTGGGCACAATGTACAACAATTTAGCTAGGAAAATCTGGCAGTGGAAGATGAGGGTAGAGCTATTTTTTGGGAAAAAAGTTCTTTTGAAAAAAGTGATTTGAGGTACTTCTCATCGATAAGTTTGATGTACCTAACATGAATAAATGTAGCTGGGGTAAATCAGAACTGAACTCAATACGTTTAGATAGGTCAAGGGGTGTAAAGAAATAGTGTATAAAAGGATCCTGGGCTAACTTGGATGATAAGAAGGAAAGAAAATATCTTGTTGGAATTACTTCCATTTGAAATTTTCTTGCAGCTGTCTTAGGTGTTCATTGCCTCCAAATTCTTACAGGAATTAGTAGAGAAGGTAAGACAGTGAGGAATTAACTCTAACCAGCTCAAATGTATTCACGTTACCAGAAAGGTGGTCAGTATTCTTTATGGGGTTTTTCTTATTCTAGGAAACATTCTAGGTACCTACAATTTAAGAAATGTTGACAAAAATGATGGTAGAGAACACTTAAAGGAAATAGAAACAAGGAAATGTAAAAATCGAAAAAGAAGTACCATGGGTGCATGGTATTAACAATGTTTCTTATTTATAAACATTGTACTCTAGTTGGTAAATTTAATTCACATGGAGGTATACAGTTTGTCTATTCTAAAACTATGGATACTGGTATTAACCAAATAAGACATATCGTAGATAATGTGAACTAGGTTTCTTGTATCAGAGAAGGAAATTACAAAGAAGCAGCAGAACAATGCTTGAATGAACTACACAGAGATAGTTAACATTTAACTTTAATAACCTGAGTTGAAACTCTTTAAGTGGTATTTGTATTACTATTGTATTTGGCATATATGGAAACAATGTTGTTTAAAATTTGTTTTTATTACAGAAGAAATTTTGGAATCCATAAGAGCAAAAAAGGGAGAGATTGACATTGTTAAAAGCCCAGAAGAAATAGAAAAGGACAACAATGAGACTGAAAATAATTCCAAAGATGCTGAGAAAAACAGAGAGGAGTTTGAAGACCAGTCCCTTGAAAAAGATAATGATGACAAAGCACCAGATGATGATCCTGAGCAAGGAAAATCTGAGGGTAAAAAAATTACTTGGTTAAAAAAAAATTTTATCAGTGTTATTTGTGAAATCTCTAATTTTATTTGCAAAATGAAAAGGAGTCATTTTTATAAACGATTATTTAATTTTATATTTCTTAAGAGTGTAGGATATCCTTCGCCCTTGTAACATACATAATCATTATAGTGAGTTTTATATGTATTGATTGATTTGCTATAATGTTATATCTCTATTTATACTTCCTAGGAAGGTGCCATTTCCCTATGAGATTGGTTGGTGAAAAATCATTACTTTAATATCAGAATATACTCTTTTGTATATAATAAAATTTGTTCATTTTCATACTAATTACTTAAACATTCTTAACATGTTAAGTATTCTTAAATACTTTTTGGATTACCTACTGCAAAAATAGCCCCAAATCTTATAGCTTCAAAATGGCCATCAAAATAAAAGCAGGTTTTTTGGTGATCATTCATTTTTAGTAGTTGATTGAATGAGACCATATGTCCTAAAGCGATTTTAAAGGATATCTTTAAAGTTTTGTTGTGCATTTTACTGTAGAGCCAACAGAAGTTGGGGATAAAGGTAACTCTGAGTCAGCAAATCTTGGCGACAACACAACAAATGCTTCTTCAGAAGAGACTAGTCCCTCTGCAGGGAGGAGTCCTGTGGGGTGTCTCTCAGAAACCCATGATAGCAGCAACATGGCAGAGAAGGTGGCGGCATCTGAGCTCCCCCAGGATGTGCCAGGTACAGAGGGCAGTGTATCAATGCCTCTGTAATGGGGGGAATCCTTCCCTTTTGCAGTAAAAGCTGAATGTCACCTAAAACTTTTAAAATATATGTTCATTCATGCTGCTTGCTTACATAAGTGCCATCCCTGATTGCTAAATGGTGCCCTAACATTTGGAATTTGACAATGTTCTTGCAGTTAGTGCTTGAAACTCATCATAATCTTCATGCTTTTTAAAGTTCATTTAGGTGTTTTTGTCTAATAGGCTTATTTGTATATTTTATCACCAGACCATAGTAGTGGATATTTTGGTTTTAAGTACTTACATACTAATGGCTCAGTTTTGAATGATTTGGCCATTCTAATTCTGTATGTGCTAACAGATTAATTTTATGTTCGCATGTGCTCATGTAGTTTCAACATTTTAAACCATATCATAATAGAAAACCATTGTCATAAAACATTTTTGCAAGGTATATATGAAATAAAAATGTAAGTTAATAATTTTCATTTTAAGCTTTTTTTAAAAAATTATTTTTACAGAGAGGGGAGGGGAGGGAGAAAAAGAGGGAGAGAAACATCAATGTGTGGTTGCCTGTTGCACACCCCCTACTGGCAAGCTCTCCTGCAACCCAGGCATGTGCCCTGACTGGGATTTGAACTTGCGACCCTTTGGTTCACAGGCCAGCACTCAGTCAACTGAGCCACACCAGCCAGGGCCATATTTGAAGCTTTTTAAAATTAAAATTATACTCAAAATAAGTACATTACACTAAGGATCTCATTATGCCTTTCTTTTTTGCATTTTTTAAGTGAAAAAACTTTTATTATAGCAGCTATATGTATTTTTCAACAAATAAGAAAATTTAAATGAACAAAACAAGAAAATAAACACTGGTAATTCCAGTAAAAATCAAGAATTATAGCTAATAACCTTGATGGAAATCTTAAAGGTTTTGTTTCTAAGCATTATAAAAAGTTCACATAATTCTTCCTTCTTGCTCCCTCCCCAATCCCCCCAGTATTTTAGTCATTTTGGTAGGAAAGTGGGGATATCTTAATGCTGGTTTAAACTTGCAGTTCTCTGGTGACTAAGGATGTTGAGCACCTGTGTGTGTGTGCGCATATATGTATATGTATATATAGGTCATTTGGATATCTTCATTTGTGAGGTTCCTGTGGCTTCCTTTGTTCATTTTCTGATAAATGGTCTCTTTTTTTGTCTGTGGCTGTTCATGGGTGAGGGTAAATTCAGTCCCTCTACTCCATCTTGACTGGAAGCAGTGGTTCCTACATTGATATTTCTTTTGAACTGTTAACCCAATCTCGTACTCCTAGAATAAATACCACTTGGTTGTCATGCATTGCATATATTTTAATATTTTGTTTAGGATTTTTAAGGTTGGCTTACCATTTTTCTTTTGTGATAATGTCCATGCCAGGCTTTGGTGTCAAGATTGTGCTGGCCTCATAAAATGAGTTTAGAACAAGTTCCCATTTTTCCTTGTCTGCAAGAGTTTGGGGGTTGGTGTTATTTATTCCTTAACTGTTTGCTGAAGCTATCTGGTCCTGGAGTTTTCATTATGGGGAACTTATTCATTGCAGATTCCATTTCTTTGGTAATAGTGGGCTCTTTATATTTTCTGTTTTCTTATATCAGTTTTAGTAAATTAAAGTTTTCTAGGAATCTACCCCATGTTATTTAAACCTTAAATTTTATTGGCATGAACCATCCCATCTTTTTAATGTTTACAAGATCTGTAGTGATACTGTCTGTTTTCAGTCCAGAAATTGGTTATCTGTTCTGTATTAATCATCTCACAGGATTGTTACCAACTTTTGTTAGTCTGTAAAAAATTACTTTTGGCTCTGGCTGGTGTGGCTCAATGGATTGAGTGCTGGCCTGTGAACTAAATGGTCGCTGGTTTGATTCCTGGTCAGGACACATACCTGGGTTGTGGGCCAGGGTTGCTGACCAGGTCCCCCAGTAGGGGTGCATGAGAGGCCACCATACATGGATGTTTCTCTCCCTCTCTTTCTCCTTCCCTTCCTCTCTCTAAAAATAAATAAATAAAATTAAAAAAAATTACTTCAATCTTTGTTGATTCTCTCTACTGTATGTTTTTTATCTTTATTCTTTCCTTCCTTTTGCTTTCTTTGCTTTTTTTTTTTTTTTGGCTTTTAACCCACCCCCCTGTTTTAAACCACTTTATTTTTTTAAAGATTTTATTTATTTACTTTTAGAGAGAAGGGAAGGGAGGGATAAAGAGGAGGAGAGAAACATTAGTCTGTAAGAGATACATTGATCATTTGCTTCTCCCATGCCCCTAGCTGGGGACCAGGCCTGCAACCCAAGCATGTGCCCTCACCTGGAGTCAAACCAGCGACCATTTAGTTCACAGCCAGCACTCAGACACCGAGCCACACCAGCCAGGGCTAAACTACTTTATTGAGGTATAATCAACATACAAAAAGCTGTACATATTTAATATACAACTTGATGAATTCAGAGATCAATATACAACCATGAAAATACCACCAAAATCTGTGACATAAATATATTCATCACCTCCAAAAGTTTCCTAAACTCTCATTTTTTTCTCCTAGCTTCTTGAGACACTTTGATGATTTTTAGATTTTCTTTCTTTTTTCTGTGTTGGCTGTTAAAGCTGTTTCCCTCTATGTACTGCTGTAGCTATATCTCATAATGTCATGCTGTCTTTATCATTCAGTTTAAAATATTTTCTAATTTCAATTATAATGTGGTTTTATGGTTATTTTTTAACCCACTGCTTACATAAAAGTATATTGCTTAATACCATAACATTTGGAGATTATCTTGTTATCCTTCTATTATAGATTTCTAGTTTAACCCACTGTAGTCAGAGAACATTGTGTGATTTGTTTAGGCTTATTTTATAGTCCAGCATTTGGGTAATGTTGATTAATGTCTCATATGCACTAGAAGAGGATGTTTATTTTGAGTTGTTGGGTGCAGTTTAGGACAATTAGATCAAGGACTTTTTTAAAAAAATTTTCTTTTTTTATTACTTGTGATTTTTAAAAATTTTATTTAGTTATTTTTCAAGTACAGTTTTTTTGTCTATTTCTCCCATCCCATCCCAGCCTCCCCTGCCCCTTGCTCCCCATCTCCCTCCAATTTCCACCCCCCTTAGTTCTCGTCCCTGTGTCCTTCCTATTTGTTCCTCCAAATCCCTCCCCCTTTTTCCCCTTAACTTCCCTTCCCTCTCCCCTCTGGTCACTGTCCCCTTGTTCTCTATTTCAGTTGTCTTTGTTTTTTGTTTTTTTTTTCTGCTTGCTTGTTTGTTTTGTTGTTTAGCTTCCTGTTAAAGGTGAGATCATATGGTATTTGTCTTTCAACACCTGGCCAATTTCACTCAGCATAATGCTTTCCAGTTCCATCCATGTTGTTGCAAAGGGTAGTAGCTCCTTCTTTCTCTCTGCTGCATAGAATTCCATTGTATATATGTACCACAATTTTTTGATCCATTCATTTACTGATGGGCACCTAGGTTGCTTCCAACTCTTGGCTATTGTAAATTGTGCTGCTATGAACATTGTTGTGCATAGGTTCTTTGATATTGATGTTTTAGGATTCTTAGGATATAATCCTAGCAGTGGAATTGTTGGGTCAAAAGGCAGGTCGATTTTTATTTTTCTGAGAAAAATCCATACTGTTTTCCATAATGGTTGTACCAGTCTGCAATCCCACCAACAGTGAACTAAGGACCCCTTTTCCCCACAACCTCTCCAACATTTGTTGTTTGTTGCTTTGTTTACGATAGCCATCCTGACTGGTGTAAAATGGTATCTCATTGTGGTTTTAATTTGCATCTCTCTGATAGCTAACGATATTGAGCATCTCTTCATGTGTCTCTGGATGTTCTGTATGTCCTCCTCGGAGAAGTGTCTGTTCAAGTCCTTTTCCCATTTTTTAATTGGGTTGGGTGTCTTCTTAGAGTGGAGTCGTGTAAGTTCTTTGTATGTTTTGGAGATTAAACCTTTGTCTGAGGTATCATTGGCAAATATGTTTTCCCATACAGTTGGTTGTCTTTTTAATTTAATACTGTTTTCTTTAGCCACGCAGAAGCTTTTTATTTTGATGAGATCCCATTTGTTTATTCTTTATATTCCTTGCTCTAGGGGACATATCAGTAAAAAAGTTGCTGCGTGAAATACCTGAGATTTTCTTGCCAATGTTCTCCTCTAGGACTTTAATGGTGTCATGGCTTATATTTAAGTCTTTTATCCATCTTGAATTTATTTTGGTATATAGTGTAAGTTGGTACTTAAGTTTCATTTTTTTGCACGTTGCTGTCCAGTTCTCCCAGCACCATTTGTTGAAGAGGCTATCTTTACTCCATTTTATGTTACTGCCCCCTTTGTCAAATATTAATTGACTGTAGAGAGTTGGGTTTATTTCTGGGCTCTCTGTTCTGTTCCATTGGTCTATGTGCCTGTTTTTATGCCAGTACCAGGCTGTTTTGATTACAGTGGCCTTGTAATACAGTTTGATATCAGGTATTGTGATCCCTCCTACTTTGTTCTTCTTTCTCAGAAGTGCAGCTGCTATTCTGGGTCGTTTATGGTTCCATATAAATTTTTGAAGTATTCTATGTCTGTGAAATATGCCATTGGTACTTTAATAGGTATTGCATTGAATGTGTATATTGCTTTGGGTAGTATGGACATTTTGATGATGTTAATTCTTCCAATCCATGAACAAGGTATATGTTTCCATTTGTTTGTGTCTTCCTCGATTTCTTTCTTCAGGGCTGTGTAGTTTTCTGCATACAGGTTTTTTACCTCCTTAGTTAGGTTTATTCCCAGATATTTTATTTTTCTTTTTGCTATATTGAATGGGATTTTTTCCTTGATTTCTGCTTCTGCTGATTCATTGTTGGTATACAAAAATGCCTTTGATTTCTGGATATTGACTTTGTAACCAGCTGTTTTGCCAAATTCATTAATTAGTTCGAGCAGTTTTTGGGTAGAA